TGTGACTCCTGATAAGCTGGACAAATCGAAGATCGCTGAAAACAAAGTATTTAAGTATTGCGGATTTGCAAGTTGAAATCCAGGGATTTCGGGTGCGGCGGTCGCGTTCGCAAAATCGCTCTTCTCACGCGGTGCAAAAGCACAAAACGCGCGATGTCGCCAACGTGTTAAAGCAACAGTCCAGGCAGGGTCTCAACCTACTTGTCATTAGGCGGTCAAAACATGCCCCAGCCCACTAAAGTTTAAGGAAATGTCTTTAATTTCAAAACCTACTCTAAAATGCGCTGGAAGGGTCGAAGTCCTCTTGGAAGGGGCGACATCCCATAAAAGCGGCGGATCGCCCAACATTCGCTGTGCAGAGCGCTTGCTCGACTAGCGGTCGTTGCGGGACCGCGCGCGCTGTATGAAGGTCGATTCCATAAGAACCCAATTGAAGCGCTTCAATTTCGATTGCTGGCAAATAGTTATGTATTTGCAAGCATGCATGGCTATTTGCCAGCAGTCAACTGGACGCATGTACTACGGGCAGGTTCGGACAACTCGTCCAACACACATCTCCCTAAACGACGGGGGAATCCTGTCTAAGCCCCTGCCGACGTTTTTTCTACTTTTTCTATCTCCATTGACCAACTCTCAGCTGCAACGTCATTATAGGTGTCCTTACCCGCGAATTCGTTCCTGGATTGTTGCTTTAAGCGCCTACTGTGTCTCGCGGAGGGGTCAACCCTGCGTTGACCCTCTCCGGAGACATTCCAGATTTTTACGACCCCCTTCCTTTTCGGAGGTATCGGTACGATCTCCCCCCGTATTAACTTTTGTGGCCTTTAACGTAATTTAATGCTCATCATTGATGTGTGGCAGTCACATGGAGAAGAGGCGGACCGTGGTTAATCCGCGCGCTTTGTCTCGCTCAGAGAGGGAACGAGGCAACATGAAAATTTATTCGTTAAATAGAAGGATTTTCCAAAATTCGCGCAACCAGTAATGGTAGTAATCATAGAGATTTTCTACTTTCAGAAACCTACCAAGTTTTTTTTTCGATTTCTCGATTCTTCTTCTTGTAATCTGAATAACTGGACCTTGTAGCAATTACGTCACAACAAACCTTTCCATTCAGAAAGTTATACTTTCTTCAGAAGCGGTCTCACGTCAAGCGGACACAAAAATTTTGAATAGTTTCTTCCTAAAAGTATTTGATTGCGGATGTTCTACAGGGTGTCCCATAAATATTGCACCACATTTTGAACTTCAATTCTGTGGGCGTTTATAGTTTTCCATCCGAGATTGGTAGACATTTTAATCCTCTAACCTCTTGTGATTTACCACGCCAAATTGCACGCCTTACCGTTCTACTTACATCTCATCGCGCGCACAAACCTCAACAGAGTGCCAAATCCTTCGCGCAGCTAGGTCCGACGAACGGTAATAAATATCGTACATCTTTGTAATCTTAACCGCTCCGCGACCTATCACGCACCGAAGAGAAGAATCATAAATGTAGGTTCCAATGCGGCCGCCCCTTATGTTCTGCTATCTTGGATTACAGGTAAAGCATGAAGAAGCGGATCGACTACCATATCGAAGTTCGCTTGAGAAAGCCGACCAGAACGCTGAAGTGTTTGAGCACAATCAGGTGAAGAGTGGTCAAGCAACAACTGCTTACACAGCATTATAGGCTGCACAAGCGCCACTGCTCTATCGAACCAGGGAAGCGCCGCAGGTACAAAAAGTCCAAAGAGCTGGTGTCGAGGGCCGAAAATGGTGATTACGAGGGCACCGTTTTCATCGGCGACAAAATTCCTCTCATGGAGCGGAGCTACAATCTCCAAAATTTGGGGATACTCGCATGAGGTCTTAAGGCTGCCAAAGAAAGAGAGAGGAATATTCTTCAGAAGTAGCAACCAATTCCTGTCGCGGTCTAGTCAGAGGTCTCAAGTACCGGTCGCTCACGACCACTGCCTCTTCAAAAAGGAACACAACTCGATGCCAGACCAACCTGAGGGACATCTTTGTGCATCATCTGTTACTAAGGTATCTAGCCACTTTGAGGGGAGAATGATGTTTTTTCCAATCGAACCCAGCTTCTGCAGAGGAGGCAAAAATTGTTCAGAAGCGGTTTCAAGCTACTCCCTACAATTTCATATCCTCAAAGGAACGGCCCCCTTCTTCCTTGATTCCAACGTGCTGATCCAACCTATGTGGGTGTTAAGGGACAGAACCTGCTCCCAACATGGCACTCACATCGATCAACCGGAGCCTCTTTACAGCTAACTTTCGAAGGGAGAACCCCAGAATGCTACGCGGGCCGCAGTAGTGTTGCTTTCGAAGCAATCAGGAGCCATAATCACAGCAACAGGGGGTCATGTCCAATAAATATCACTCCTTCAAATATGTAAATGTATGGCTAAGAATTGTGTATAAGCTCTTGAAGATACATACGTTTTGAGAGAAGTTACACTCAAAGAAAAGTGGTGCAATATTTATGGGACACCCTGTATATTTCAAAATTTTTTCTTCTGCCTTTATTTCCTAAATGTTTCCAGAACTCAGTTCAGCAAGTTCACTACACTTTGTTCCGAAAGCATCAAGGTTCTCTTTGGAAATTCGTCTGCTCACGGCCCCCACAGAGAAGGCGCTTTTGTAGGAAAACGCCTGCTCGGGTATACGCCGTGCACCTGCCTGTGGTCAGGTAGCACACGCATCTGATAGTCCTCCTTTTTCCTGGAGAAGGTGATTGTTGCGTTGTACTATCATATGGTACTCTTGTTTCACTTCTTCATGAAGTGCTCTACACTTTGTTCTCCATGGGATTTCAGGAATGTTCGGTCATCGAAGACAGACCACGTTATCTCTCTGGAGACGACCCCTCCTCTTTCGTTCGGCCAAATACGACCGTTCTTTGCGCAACGGACAGTTGACCTTCTCCAAAGTCAAACACTCGACCGAATATCTGCTTCTGGGAACAATTTTGTTCAAGGTACAACGCGAACAGGACGCGAAGGAGGCGTGGTCCCTCGTTCCTATTTTGTGCAAAGCCGCATTGCGTCAAAAGGTTAACATCCGACTCCTGTGCTGCCTCAGACGGCTGGTCGTGTTTCTTCGGTAGTTCTGGATGACTGCTAAGCCATAGGGCCAAATGATGAAACTCTCAAGAGAAACAGCCCTTAAAAAGACCCATCTGTTGGACCGGATTGGACCAGTAGGCGTGACCGGAAGTGCTTCTGTGACGGAGTGCGCGGAAGGTGCGGATCCACGTGTCAGTTTATGGGAAGGACCCAGCATGAATACAATTCAGGTTCACGCTTTTGACGCGTTTGCACGTGTTGACTCCACGCCGCTAACGGTTGCGAAAGTTTTACAGAGGGAATTGAAAAATTTTCATGGTCGAACTGGTTATCATAATTATCAGAACCATCGCCTACATTCCATTCTTTTTGCTATCTTCATGGAGTAAGGGTCCTAAAGTATCGTTTTGTAGGAATGGAAGCAATGTTTCTCCGTGGAAGATTCCTTTAAATGTAGTCAGGGAAGCATTTGAAATTTACCATCACGAACTCCCTTCTGCATTCCACCAGTGTTTCGCCGTCTCGGCAGAAAAAACTGTCGAGTCTAGGTTGAGGAGATGATGGTTAATCATGCTCTGGTTCTGAAGCCGATTATTCATAAGAGGCATAGGATAGAGTAAAAAATTCCTTTCTTAGGTCGACAAAGTTTTTCAGAGAAATTTCTCGGACTCCTCCGCTGTGAAGCAGTAGTATGGGGCGGGATGTGCCTGCGGGTGGGGGAAGCAGTCCGTAGGAGGCCCACTAGGATTACGCTTGACGGAGAGGGACGAATACGGGACAGAATGAGAACTATTACGCGCTTCGGTTAGAACTACATACGCACTTCGGAAGCCCTCTTCTTTTCTAAGGTTAGCGAACAGTCCTGAAACTGAGCTTTCTCGTGAATCTGACAAAGTGTAATGGAAGAAAAAGGTATCTCAAAAAGCAAAATGGAATTCGATGTCCGCTTGATTAAAGTGAACTAAGCTGATTCATCGCTCCAATTGACAAAGTCAATTATTGCCGCGCCTATCGAGAAACTGCCGCGCAACGATGCCGCGCAAGTAGTCGCGCGCAACGGCGCCTTCCTGACGGTTCTGTGGGCCGCTCCCCTCCTCCCCCCAGGGGATGGAACAGGCGAGCGCGCGTGATCCTGGAGCGTGCCTTGAAGGAGATAAACATACTTCTTCATGAGACTTCCGACTGGTATATGTCATGTTGCGAAAATGTGAGAGTTTAGAGAAAAGTATTTCCATTCTAAGAACACTACTTATGGGTGATATTAAAGGACGAACTCACGATTAGAATGAAGCTTGAAGAAGGAGCAATTCACCTCATTGAGGAACCCGCAAACCTCTTAGGGGTGCCAACTGAAGCGCAATTGGCACCGAAGGAGTTGACCTCGGCGACTTATTAAGGCTCAATCTTGGCTGGCGCGGTGGGCCAGTGCACGCCCACCGATCATCTGATCACTCGCCGCAAGCTACACGTAGTGAGTGATTAGATAGGTGAGAGAGCGTAGTGCTGAAGAGGGCACAGCGATGATAGTCGCATCACTGCTCGAATCAAGGGGCAAGGAAGGGGCTCCATTTCTCGGATTCTGGGCCATTTTCTTCAGTTTTTTCTTCGTTAGTGTACCACTCACTATCGCTAAGTTAATTTGAAATCGGTTGCCTTTCCAGCATGAATTCGTCCTTTAAGTATAAGTAACCTAATTGTGAAAAGTTGTAAATAGGGCAGTATTAAAAAAGCAGGAGAAGTTCTGCAACCCCAGCATAGAAAAATGTTTGCAAGTAGACGCCAAATCAAATGAGGAGCTGAGTAAAACTGGATTTGACCCCATTCAAATTTGACTCCTGCTACCATCTCACGCAGTGTTTTGCATACAGCTTATCAACACTATTGGAGATTACATTTATCCGTCACTATTTATTATTTTATGAGTAAACTTGATAGGAGTGCCTGAGCAATCAACTGCTGCGATGGATACGAGAACGAATCCCTGTAGACGATCCAATACGAATCAAATCACTCTCGAATTACAAGGAGATGCAAAGCCTTGGAAAAGGCAGATTCGGTGAGGTATGCAAATAGATTACAGTACTGAACTCTTATAAACTCCTCAAGAGCTGGCGGACCACGGCACTTTTCATGTGTAAGAAGAAACAAATTTGCGCCCCCTTTCTGGTATAAACCCCAGGAACTGAGCCATCTTTGTTCTTCAGAAGTGGAACAGAAGAAGATCTCAAAAATTTGTTATATGTATTGAGGAACGCAAAAAACCGTCGCAAACATTTTACCGAAACTCCTTCCATTGTTCGCTGCTGCAATCACTTTTACTACTTAAGCACTGATTTGCCCTTATTTCAGGTTGTTAAGTACCTAAACACCTCGAAAATGGTTCACGAGACGGTAAAACGCGTGCCAGTGAAGTTGTTTGACCACTGGAGTCAATCCGACTATCGTATTTCACAGGTTGGTTTTTTGAGTCTCGTATTCACGTAAACTGCGAAAAAATAATATTAGATAGACAGATGAGTGAGGAATGCAGTTTTCACCGGCTGTTTGCGGCCTGATGGGTAACATGTTTCATGACCAGCTGAAAGTCACCCAAATTGTAATTAATAAAAAGTGCTCAGCTTATGTTCATCCCCTCTTGAAAGAGTTAAGGTATGCGATCAATCCGTTTTAAAGCGAGAGATTACGATAAAGTGGGAGTGTGCCAAGAAAGCAAATGCATCGCTGGACCTAATAGTAGAGCGGTAAAGGAGGCGAGATGTTGCGTTCAAGCGAGCAAAGGCGCGCTAGTTGCTGCGCACTAACTTCGCTACCGTAGTCTGAGCTCCGCCTCGACTTGTGCCCCGCCTCTCAATTTGGACGGTGAAATAGCATGGTCTGTGTGAGTGGCATCCTTGGTTGCGGAGCAGTCAAAGTGGATTGGCTTGCATATTTGCAATGTGGGCGTCGTAGGGGGAAATAAGTCAGCTGTTGGATAATGTTCATTTGGTGGGATTGACGGTTTTTTTTGTATAATAAGTCATTTGTGAAATTTTAGTAGTCTATACATGCAATGAGAAAACTTATCACGTGATCACGCCTATCATCTCATTATGAATTGGTGCGTGCGTTAATTGTAAGAGAAGTTTTTGATGCTTATGGATATGCCGTATGATGCACGAAACTGTGAGGGATCTCGAGCGTTTGGGAGGTGCATGATCTCAAATTGGCTAGAATGTGACCGTACGGTGCTTTAGGTAGCCGAGAAAACTCAGTTGCTACGAATAGTTCTGTCCGCAAAGGCCAATAATAGCCGTACATTTTAACAAAATTTATTCGAATTGCAAATTGGTAAGAAATTCGGTGTCTCCTTGAATGTGTCGCAAATTCGTCCCGAGGGAATGGAAGGTCGTGAGCTGAGCATCGAAGGTGAACAGGAGCCAAACGAGAACAGTGTTTTGGAAAAGTGAGCTTGATTACCCTCACAGGTTAGATACCTTTAGGATGCCTATTGATACAATAGCCATCACAGGCCGACGAAAGACTACGATCATGAGAAGAGAAACATTTTCATCATGCCCCTCCCCACAAGATGAACTCGCATTGATCTGGCTTCCATGAAGTCGAAAGTGTTGATAATTTGAATGCGCGGTTGCATTGTGTAACAAGACTAAATCTAAATTTATTCATCTGATTCACCACAGCTAATCACATTCATGTCGCGATTTGCTGATCATTTGCGTAGGCGGCTGGGTTCTTCCTTCCAAGCTGGTAGTTGTTCTTCTTGGCTCAGTCGTAAATCAGATAGGCGCCGATACATGGTGTTAGGTATTACGGCTACTCATACCATACGTGATTCTTGAAAACCTTAAGACCGTATATAACAGGGATACATATAACATAAAGATGATATCAGCTCAGTAGGGCAAGTGACGAACTAACAGTAATGAGAGTAAAAGACAGCTGACAATAGCTTGGTCGAGGAATCCTTTGAACGCCTTCTGCTTGTTCGGTGCCAAACCGACTCCACTTGTGTCGTGTCCCATGTTTCAAATGTACATGATTCCATTCCAGTTTATCTTTTTCAAGGTCGTAACTCAACACAGATTTCACCTAAAAAGTGAGTTTGCTAGTTTATTTCAGAGACAAATGTCCTTTTCTTCATTTCGAATCTTCTATATTGATCACATGGAGGCTTAGAAAACAACTAATTTATAATGTATGAGGGACTCGTGTAGAAATCCCACGATGGGATTTGGAATTATTGCGCACATTGAATCAGCAAACTCACTTTTCAAAACCTATACTGAGCTCCACTCCTATTCAAAATAGCAAAGTAAAATCATGAACATTCGACTACGCTCGAAACACTGCTGAACATGAAACCATGGCCGTCGTCATTCAATTGATAGGAGTACTTGCAATTTATCCGGCTGCGCGAATTGCGTTGCGACTCTAACACTAGAGGCCGTATGGTGAATTTTGGTGAGGGGGAGGTGGTACATCAATGCATTATGTTGGGGGAATTAGCGGGGGTTCGTCGTGGGGCCGATCGGCCACTGGGTAGCCCTGACTCTGTGCTTCTATATTTGCCTTTTTGGTGTTTAACGTTACATATTCGTTCAAGTACATACTCCTACATTGATGTGATCCCTACTATACAGGGGTGGCCAAAAAAAAAAGAGACACTTAGCCCATGGCGCACATCATCGAACTTTTCGTCGCACAGGGAGCCGATGTTAATGAAAGTTTTACGGCTGAATATTCCTTAGGTGTTCCCCCATAGACAGAAGCAAGCCCTCCTTCACTGCCCCAATTGTCTTCAGAATATGACGTCATCTGCCGTCATCGTCGCCCTGAAGCTGCTACACAATTTCTTCAACGGATTAACTGATGAATAACTTCCCAGAGATATTAACGGTGATTGTGCGAAAGCGCTTCCGGCTAGCATTTCAGAGACATCATAATCGTCTATGGTATCTCGACGACCTCGTTTGAGCTCGTACCGTGCACAGTGCTTCGGGGGAAAATCTTCAGATGACGTCGCATGTAGGAGCTGTTGTGTTGCTTCCTGATAGTTTTGGATGTGCTGTTTGATATTCAGTTGTGAACATTTTGTTCGGTTTTGCAACGCGTAAATAATTCCGTTTGAAGTGGGAGTGAAGTGTCCTTTTTTTTGGCCACCCCGTATATAATGCGCTATGTCTGTCTGTCGTCTGGTCACGAAATTCGTATCAAGCAACAACAATAAGGGTCCAGGTCAAGTTTGGAGGGATACCAATATCCTAGAAAGTAATAACACACATCAGCAAGCGGAGCCCGCCCACAGTGGGCGTGGGGCTGCATCGGTTGATTCAAATACAGTCAAAAACAGCCTCGAGACTGGGACAAAAAGTGGTTATAAATGTGCGTCGGTAAGGCCAGATTGCATTGGGGAGACCCACCCTCGGTGGGAGGGGCGTTCTCTGGAAAAGCGGTGCTCATAAAAATATCAATAACTAGGTTAGGAGGAAGCTTACAGAGCAGAAAAGAAATTAGTGCAGGCAGCGATGCTAAGGTATTTCCAGCACGCATGATGTGAACGGAGATCACCCACAATGGGCGGAGCGTGTCCTGAAGTAGACGACGTTTTCTACGAGAGCTCATAAATCGGCTCTGAGATGACTTGGAACCTGAAAACAGTGGATACAGGTTAGCGAGAGAGGAGAAGCTAAATGTCAAGGCTGGGCGTAGCTTACACCAAAGTGGGCCGAGTTTGCTACCAGCCTCATAACTCGGTTCTATGAGTCCGGGTGTGGGGAAAAGCGTATAAGTGTTGGCAGAGGGAAGGGGTCAAGTGCTGTGGGCAGGGTGAGCATGCATTAAAGGTGCGGAGTTGCCACGGTACTTCATAACTCGGATCCAATAAGTTCGGAGATGGAAAATAGTAGAATGAGGTTGGGGAAGAGATGATAGTCATATGGTATGCGGTGAGCGAGGCATGTAAAGAAGTGGCGGCGGTTTACCACAACGATACGTTGCTCGATTCGGTCCCCTACAAGACCTCATAATGCGGCTCCGAGATGACTTAGAGACTTGAAAAAAAATACGCCAGAGGTGAAAGTAGGAGTAGAGGTTGAATGTGAACGCTGGGCGTGGCACACCCGGATGTGGGCGGAGTGCCACCGCTCTCATAACTCGGTTACTAGAAGCCCCAGCGCCGGGGAAAATGTGCATAAGTACTGAGGTATGGAGAAGGGTTGAATGCCATTGCTGGGCTAAGCATGCACCAGAGTGGGCGGGGTCTGCCTCAGGAATTCGTGACTCATAACGCCATTTACGAGACCTCATAATGCGGCTCCGAGATGACTTAGAGACTTGAAAAAAAATACGCCAGAGGTGAAAGTAGGAGTAGAGGTTAAATGTGAACGCTAGGCGCGGAACTCCCCGGAGTGGGCGGAGTTTGCCACCATTCTCTCATAACTCGGTTCCAAAACGGCTAGACGACCGGGAGAAATGTGGATAAGGGTTGCCGGAGGAAAGGGGTTACATGCTAATGGTGGGCTAAGCTTCCACAAAAGTGGGCGGAGTTATGCACGAAACATGATTACTCGGTTCCAAGAAGTCTTGGACACCAGGAAAAAAGTATAGAGGTCAACGAAAGAAACGAAGTCTCAGTGGGCAGGACATGCGCAAAAGCGGGCGGGGTTACCAAGGTATTTCGAAAGTGGAGTGTCTCCAAAGCAGCCGTACCTTGGTATCTCGCTCAGCAGCTCTGCAGTAATAGAGAGAGAACATTGGTCACAGACATAATTTTTCAGCCTCACCACCTTCCGAAAAAAACCCTGTCTTGGAAGAAAGACCCTCTCCGAAACCGCCTTATAGTTATAATAGAAAATATAGTATGACCTAATAGTCGGTGTAAATGGGATGTACCGAAAGAAAACTAAAATTTAGAAAAGAACAGTGATCATCCTGTTGTACCCCCGTGTGATGCACGGCAATGCGTGCGCAGCCAAACTGGTAACAAATATGGCACGAAGCAGCGGGAGATTTGAAACAAAACGCAATCGAAAATAGTGGGTGGATAATCACATACATCATGGCACTACAACTAGAGCCATATGAACGAATGCAGAACAACCAACGGATAGACTGACGCGCTTATCAATATAGTAATATATACGCAAACGAATCTATGTATAATCTAAATAGTGGAAAAGAGAAAAGAAAATAAAAAATGAAATGGTCGGTCAGTGGAGGGTCGGTCCTACGACGAGGCCCCGGTAAGTCTCCCAAACTTTCCCCAACAATAAGAATCTAGAGTCGAGGAACCCATTTCCCCTTCATCGTTCAGCTTTTGCTGCTTCTTTCGACTGTAGTTGGATATGGACCTGGGGACAGATTGTTCTTGCCTAGTCAGTTCTTACAATCTTGGTATGTGAAACTAAAAGTCCAATTGGGCAAAACAGCGAACTTTAACTCGAACGAGTAATTTTTCCTGTTAAAGTTTCTGTTTTAAAGACTCGAGGCGCACATTTACCGCTGAGAAAACGATTTGGAATGGATTGCTCACACCTAAACTAATTGAAGACCAAAGGAAATGCACTACACCCGATAGCCACATCAACAAATCGAAGGAAGAGATAAATGTGAACAATGTAGAACGAAGACTGGGCGGTTCCAACAACAAATAAAGAAAAAAAAGCTACAAATAGAATAGCATGTTTTCGGGTGTAGGTTTAGGCGCTGGACTCTCTCGCTACCTAAAAAATCGTTTTTCCACAACATTCTCCTTCGAATTAGTTATACACAAGAGAGAAGTTTCAGAAAAATGCCACGAATACTGAAAACAAATCCAAAAACACGATACTAGCGAACATACGAAAAAACACAACTTAAAAACAGCTGATGGTATCGACTGAGCGAGGCCGACCTTGGCACGACGTCCTTCCTACTGGGACAACTCGTCCAGCTAGCGACTACGTTGACCGAGGCACTGCGGACGGTCCACTACCAACCAGAGTCAACCCTGCGTTGCGCAGTTCTCAACGGTCACGTTGCGCAGTTTCGCCCGATTAGACACGTTCTCTCGCGCGAACATTCACACTCGCATGCTCGAGCCGTCTGTGTCTAGGCCCATACAGCGTGCGTTGAGGATCTCTCAACGTGCCGTTGCGAACTGTGCAACGCAGGGTTGACTCTGCTACCAACTACTTTAACCCTTTGACGACCGCCGTTATGAATGCGTCATTTCACTTCTTTCTAATTTTTTTCATCAAAAATCATTAACCCTCCAACAATTTCACTACTAGTAATTAGCGCATTATTCCGCGAATTCGATAATCTATTTGTGTAGTTTTAAAACGTGAAAAATGCTAAAATAAACTCCTAAAAACATGTCGCCACCGACGAAAGTGTGGCCCACCGGCGGGCCACGCGGTCGTCAAAGGGTTAATGATGGTCCACGTACTCGTGACATTTCTGGCTT